AAGCCGAGTACTTAACATTTTGTGCGGCCTAGGGACTCCATAGACTGCCAAAAGAATGAACAAATCTGTCTTGGAAGAAGTACAACCAGAATGCTCCTTAGAAGTAAGGACGGCGAGACTACGTCTCACATACTTTGGACATGTTATCAGGAGGGATCAATCCCTGGAGAAGGACATCATGCTTAGTAAAGTAGAGAGTCAGTGAAAAAGAGGAAGACCCTCAAGGAGATGGACTGACACAGTGGCTGCAACAATGGGTTCCAGCATAACAATGACTGTGAGGGTGGCACAGGACCAGGCAGTGTTTCATTCTGTTGTACATAGGGTTGCTATGAGTCGGAACCGAGTCAATGGCAGCTAACAACAACAAGGATTCTTTACTTTCACATATAATACTTCCATTTATTCTTAAGACTTGAATATTACAGGAGCCTAGACTAAATTCTGAAACTAAATTAGTCTTTCAGCATTGACTTATCATAGCCTACTTAATGTCATTGAAGAGAAAAGCAAAGCAAAATTTTGGTATTCCCCCATCCAAAAACTAAGTTCCTATCAGTATGCAACCGCGTCATACACCTGGGATAATAACTTCATTTTTTCTTTTGATGTTTTAGTTTATATTAAATGTTCTATGCAAAGTGCTGTGACTTAATACTAGACAAAATGTTATGGTGTACAAAATTTTTCCTGTAACAAGTTGCTTTTGAAATTCGTTTCCCAGGCTGGTATTATTGAACTTTTTCAGTTCCTCCAAACTGATCAGGCCTTAAGGTCCAGAAGGTAAAATTTACTAGTTAGAAGAGGCCAATTATTAACATAGAAAGGTATGCTTGTTCTTGTACAAGAGTTACAATGTATTGAGATATGGTTGTCCAGTTGAGGTTTATAGGGGTAAGTCTACTTCTCTGTACTACTTCTCTGTTTATTTGTTCTTGTTGTTATTTGCTGTCCAGTCGGCTCTGGCTCATGGAAACCTGGTGTACAACAGAATGAAACATAGCCTGGTCCTGCACCATCTTCACAATTGCTGGTGTGCTCAAATCCACTGTTGCAGCCACTGTGTATTTTGAGTGCCTTCCAACCTAAGGAGCTCATCTTTGAGCACTCTATCGGACAAGATTCTGTTGTGATCCATAAGGTTTTCATTGGCTAATTTTTGGAAGTAGATCGCCAAGTCTTTCTTTCTAATCTACCTTAGTCTGGAAGCTCCACTGAAGCATGTCCACCATGGGTGACCCTGCTGGTATTTGAAATACTGGTAGAATAGCTTCAGCATCATAGCAACATGGAGGCAACCGCAGTATAACAAACTGACACATGAGTGGTGGAAAGTGTTTGTAGCCTCTCTTAAAGGGAATAATCATTCCTGGTGTCAATCACAAGGGCAGGAAAAGGTTTTCGTATAAGAAATGAGTACTATGAGGTAGGTCTTAGCTAGACGGGAGAGAACACTATCTTTGTCTGTCTGAATCCTGCTCTGTTTGTACTAAACAGGAGAATATAAGTGTCCAGATATATGTTTCCAGAGGACTTGGGGGCTATGATGGTACACACTATGTGGAGGTGGACTCAGAGATGGGATGAGGTAAAGACTGTGATCCCTAGCAATCAAGTGATATCAGTGAAGTAAGAGTACCTACAATCATGTTATTCTAGGCATATATTTCTTCCTCTTGTTTTGACTGAGACTTTGAAAAAGTCTTACCCAAAAGTTTTAGCCTTTCATCAGCTATACCATTAGGTGTACAAGTTCAAATCTGGAGCTATGCTTCAGCTAGATATTTGGAACCATGGCAGCATTCTCTGAGACCAGTACGGTGGTAGCATTGGAAAATAATGAGCATTTTCAAATGGTAGATAGAGCTGAGGATAAAGTTGGGACTTGTAGAACAGAGACCACCAACAGAGCAGAGAATCTTCTTCAGGTTCCAAACTTAATTCATTATAAAAAGAGCCATGTTTGCTAGGCCAAGTGGGATCTTCCAAAATTATACAGCCTATTACCCAGACTCCAGATAGAATTGCATACAATGTATCCCAAACCTGCACAGAGGCTTAAACAACATATCATTATTATATAACATGTATGTTATTAAATAACAAATCACATAGTCCTTTTCAACTTATGGTAATAATGCTTCTGCTAGCACTGACCTTGTAATTTGAAAATACATAGGCATAATAGTCAGCATGGTATTATCAGCTTTTAATGAGCTCAATTTTTCTTCTTAGCTTGACTTGATTCCTCTAATATTTTTTGCTACTCAAAAACTAACAGTGCGCTATATTTTTTTTGAAGTGTCAGAATCAACTCGATAGCAATGGGTTTGGTTTTGGTTTTATATGCATACTATGTTGATGGAAGTAAAGTTGAACTAGTCCAAAAATACAAAAACATTCCTCCAATTGTCCAGAATTAGTTCACCTAGGACATTTCCATCATGGCCAAAAGGAGAAAATATTTCTGACTTTCCCTCATGCTTAAGTACCCCCTTATCATAGCCATGATACAACGTTTCTTTTCATGTTTCTTAAACACTCAGAGACTAGTTACATTATTAATCACCAGGTAGAGTACACGTTAAGCTCAGCTTTTGCTAAAATATTTTTTCTGCTGTCAGTTATGCCCCTAGGATAGGATGGATTTTGCAGACACAACATTTGGGGGCATTTGGGTAACAACTCTTCCCTGAGTTCTCCGAAGAAGCGGTATTTCACTGGACAACTGAAACACTCCTTTTATTTAACTTGCAACATAATGGAAGCAAATGTTTTCAGCATCAGCATTCCCTTGGCCTAATATATGTTTTAATGTTCTGTAAACTTAAATGATTTTAATGGCCTTATGCTTGGTAAATAAACACACAAGCAAGATGGGGAGGAAATTTTCCTTCAGGTTTTTTTTTTTATTTTAATGCTTATTTGGGGAGAGAAGGAAATATAATCTCTATATTTTAAACAAAATATTCAATTTATCACTGGAGCACATCAAGGGATGTTTATTACTGTTTATTATTAGGATCTAATAGCTAACATTTATTTAACATTTACTCAGTCACATGATTTGCTTTAAATATTTTCCATGTAATAATTCATTTGAATCTTCACAGAAAAGACTCTGTAAGCTAGGTGCTTTTATTATTATCATCCCCATTTTACTGACAGAGAAACGGAGGTGGAAGAGGTTAAGTAACTTGCTCAAGGCTCCACCACCATTAAGTAGCAGATTGAGTGTTCAAATTTGAACTTGCTCCAGAACCTGTCCTCTTAGACACCAGGTTTCATTGCATCTACGGAGTGAGTACCATGTGCCACATGCCTTATGCACAATATTGCTAATGTTGTTTTTGTTGTTAGGTGCTATTGAGTCAGTTCTGACTCAGCAGCGCTATGTACAATAGAACCAAACACTGTGTGGTCCTGCACCATCCTCACAATCATTGTTATATTTGAGCACACTGTTACAGCCACTGTGTCAATCCATCTTGTTGAGGGTCTTCCTCTTTCTTGCTGACCCTCTACTTTACCAAACATGATATCCTTTGCCAGGGACTGGTCTCTTCTGATAACATGTCCAAAGTACATGAGGCAAAGTCTCGCCATCCTTGCTTCTAAGGAACATTCGGGCTGTACTTCTTCCAAGACAGATTTGTTCATTTTTCTAGCAGTCCATGGTATATTCAATATTGCTAATACCTACCCTGAAGATGAAGTAGGTATTATTACCTCCCATTTTACAGGTGAGGAACGTGAGGCTTACCATGACTGAAGAGCTTGCCAGTGCTCACGCAGTTCTTAAGTAGTAGATCTCATTTTTGATGTTACAAGCTTTATTCTTTCTAAGATGCCACGCTGTAGTTTACTCAGTTTAATGCTGTTAAGAAATTAAAAGTTTTTACTGTGAAGTCTATTTTGGAAGGAGAGATAATTTAAGAGCTAATTCTAAAGCTTCCAAAGAAAGTTTTCAAAGGACTTTGCATATTTGCAGAGGAAATTACAAATTAAATTTAGAACTAGGTTCCCAGGGGTCTTGTAACTCTGAATTGTATCTGGAAACCAAGCCCTAAGCTGACGGTTGGCCTGGAATGGTTTTCTCAAAAGGTTCTGGGGATCATAGAAGGGGATGGTGAAGCATCAGGAGAAAAGGAGTTCAGGCAACCATTTCTGCATAGTACCCTGAGTCAGGATTTGGGGCATCTGTGGGGCCCTGTACCACTTTTAGGAAATCAGCTAAAAATGGATCAGAAGCCATAAATGCAACTAGATAAAACTTGTCCCAGTAGCATCAACCATATTTGAGTTTCTGAGTTAGGCTTTAGGTTGGTGGAGCCCTGGTGGTACAGTGGTTAAGAGCTTGGCTGCTAGCCAAAAAGTCAGCAGTTCAAATCCACCGGCTGCTCTTTGGAAACCCTATGGGGCAGTTCGACTCAATGGCAACGGGTTTTCTTTTCTTTATTTTTTTTTGGTTTAGGTTGGTGGGTTATAAAGCCTTCTAATGTACCCCAATATTTTCATTTACAGCCACCATAAATGTAAAGTGTGTTGTGTTGTTCTTGAAACATTCTAGAATAATGTCTTCTTTTCTAGAACAGCTAGGAACAAAAACCCTTTAAATTACCTTGGGGAACACAATGACTGTGCAAGTGACAATCAGGGGTTGTTTTATAAAAACAGGTCATTATTCTATTCAGGGTTCATCATTTATTTAGCTGTCTTTAAAGTGTCCATCTATAAACGGGCTTAAGCACAAATAAGAGAGATGGAAGGACGATTCATTAAAATATTTAAAATACCTTGTAATGTTAAGGAGAGCCAGATAAAACCACAATTAGATAACTGAAGTTAAAAAAATCGCTGAAACTTCCTATCCCAGCAGGGTCCTCAGTTTATAATGGTATGCCCTCTGAATGGCAGAAAGAGAGCGGGCTGAATTAGACCTGGCAGAATGCTAATAAGCCTTTGTAGATGGAAGCTGTCTATTTGCAACAGTGACTCACCTCTGGTTCTCTGAGTGACAGCAGTCTCCCAACAGGCAGGACAGCACTAGCCTGAGGCAAAACTGTGCAGTAGGTGAAGGTAGTATCAGCTCTCTCCACCTCTTCTTTCTTCATACTTCCCCTTCCTCTCTCCAGGTGGCTCCTCCCAGATCTCCCTTTCCTTGTAGAGAGAGCTGTCTAATGAAGTCCTTTATACTGAGCCAATGGGGATTTGTGTATAATTCACCCTGGAATGTTTTAAAAGCAGGAGTTAATGGTGGAGGTGGGTGTGAAGAGGAATAAAGAGGACCTCAAACAGTGTCTGCTGCATTGCTTTCTGTATACCAGCTACCTTTAGCCTGATTTCTCTCTGGAGTAAGAACAGGGATTTACTCATCCATGCATACATGCATTATGCAACAAATATTAATAGAGCTACTCCTATCTACCAGGAGCTCTTCTAGGTGCTGAGGATATGGCAGTGAACAACTGAAGTTTCTGGTCTCAGGAGATTTTTAGTGTAAGGAAGACAATAAACAAGTACATTTTTAATATGATAGATAGTGGTAAGTGGTATCAGAAAATGAGGCAGGGTAAGCAGAATAGAGATTGAGACAATGTTCTCGGTTGGTGTTGGAATGATTCAGTTTTAGTTAAGACAGTCAGAGAAGCCCTCTCTGAAAAGGTGGTACTGAAGTGAGGGAGGGGCCGTGGAGACATCTGGGCGAAGAGCCTTCCTGGCAGAGGTAGCTCAGACCCTGGGTAAGAGGGTGTTTTATTGTTCCAGGAGCATCAAGGAGGCTAGTGTGGATAACATGCTGTTGGCAAGGGAAAACATAACGAAGAGATGAGGTCAGAGAGCCCAAGGAGGGGCCAGATCATGATAGGGACTTTGAATTTTATTCGGAGGGAGATGAACAGCCATTGAAGTGTTTTTATTGGAGAGGTGACTATTTTACAAGAATCACTCTGGCTGTTGTGAGAAGAGTATAGTGTGATGGGGTGGAAGTCAGGAGACCTACCAGGAGGCTACTGCAAAAATCAAGGGGAATATGACAGTGACTAGATATATGGCAAATGGTTATTGCTGTTGGCTGCTAACCAAAAGGTTGGAGGTTCAAGTCCACTCAGAGGCACCTCAGAAGAAAGGCTTGGTGATCTACTTCCAGAAAACAGCCGTTGAAAACCCTATGGAGCAAAGTTCTACTCTGACACACATGGAATCACCATGAGTTGGAAACAACTCGATGGCAGTTGGTACTGGTGTGGTGCTAGAACCAGTGAGAAGAGGTGGGATCCTGGATACAGACTGAAGAAAGAGCCAATGGAATTTGTTGATAGATTATATGTGGAGGTGTGAGGGAAAGAGAGGGGTCAATAAACTTACTCATTCTATAATGTTGCAAATTTGAATGTTATCCCACTATCCAGGCTTCTTGGTTACAAATGACAAAACCCCAATTCAAAGCAGCCTAAATTAAAAAAAAAAAAAAAAAAAGGCACGAAATTAAACTGTAAAGAAGCTGCAGCTGCTGGTCTCAGGACACTCGCTTTCTCAGTCTCTTCCATCTATTTCTCTCTGTGGTCAGCTTCTCCCTCTCAGAATAGCTTCTCCATGTGGCAGGAACAAGGCTGTGGGCATTTCTGACCCCAAGTTCTTACCACTTGTTCCTGGAGAGGAAAGGGATTTCTTTGCCTGGACTAGGTCAAGGACATCCTTGAAGGAGAGTCGTTTTGTTATCACAATGGTAAGACCTAAACATCCAGGCCACTTTCTGCCCACCACCCTAGTCAAGTGCTACCTGAGGAGCTCCACGGCAGGCCACTTCTGTCCCCAGCCTCACTTCATCTCCGCCAAATAAGAGCATAGACCTGTCAAGAAGCTATAGACCTTCTGAATGTGTACTGTGTGAATCTGGGAATTACAGCTATTTGTGTAGGCCAAGAATCAAAATGATGGGCAGCAGTAGGCACCAGACTTTTCCTTTCAGTGCTATGAACAGGACCTAAAAGAAATAGGCTTTTGAACTGGGGGGACTTGGCAGCCAACTGGTGGGGCCAGACAACTTATAACAACCCCACTGAGATTCGTGAGGCCTTTTTTGTTTTCAAAATCCTTTCACAGTCTGTTTGATCCCACAGTATTCCCTGAAAATAAATAAGGTAGAAAGCTAGATGCTATCCATTCCCCCACCCCTATTTTATACCAAACCCGAATCCATTGCTGTCGAGTCAATTTGGACTCAGAGTGACCCTATAGAACAGAATAGTATTGCCTCATAGAGTTTCCAAAGCTGTAAATTTTTACAGAAGCCGACTGCCACATTTTTCTCCCAGGGAACGTCTGGTGGGTTTGAACTGCCAACCTTCTGGTTAGCAGCCAAGTGCTTAACCACTGAGCCGTGAGGGAGTGAAGGAAAATAAGAGTTAGAGAGGTTAAGATTCAGAGAATTCAAAGCCATAAAGCTTTTAGGTGGCAGCTTCAGCTTTGGTTTCCTAAATCTTCTCACCTTGACATGACACGTCTCCTAATTATGTATAAAACCATATTTGATAACCTGTACGTTCTCTAGAGAACGCTGATGATTCAGTGGCTTTTCTTGAGAGGCTCAACTGATCGTGAGTGTGCTTTCTTTAACAATAAAACAAACCAAAATCATCAAGTAAAGAAAAAAAACATACAATTTTCAGGCTGAGAAATGCAAATTACTGCGCAGAAATATCATGGGAGAATATTATAAAATATATCAGAAACATCAGCACCATATCCAAGGAGAAGATAGGCTACCCAAAGAGTCAGAAGCTCTGTAAAAAAAACAAGACAAAACAAAACAACAAAAAACAACCTGTAACGAATGGGAATGGTGCGGGAAGATCCGCTGATCAGTCTCAGATCTGGGTGGCCCCTCAGACAGAGTGTGGTGTCCACAGCATCTCCTTCAGATGCTGAGGACAATGATCTAACCTGCTGAGACGAGTCAGTCATGCAAGCCAAATGCTTCATGATGAGAGTTCGTGAAAATTCTTACTCCACTTAGCTCAGGGCACTTTCTGAACTGACAGCAATGACAGACGTATCTTTCAAAGCTTTGTTTTTCTAAAGTCTAGACGCAATCTATGTATTTTTATATACCATGTGCAATTAGTCTCCCTATTACAAATGGCTGCACAGTCTACAGATTCTCATGGTGAAGCTCTGACATTTGTTAATGTGAGTGATTTTTCTCAAGCAACTATATTTCATATAGTTTCAGCATTTGTTTCTAAATTTACTCACATGTTCACTCACTCATACATTCATTCTCTACTTTTACTCCCTCCTCAACTTCATTAACTATTTCATTAGTGTCTACTATGTACAAAGCTCCAGGCTAGATTGGACAGGGTCCCTGTCCTTGAGAAGTTCATAAGCAAATGGAGTATGAATATTTTGGATTCGGTAAATTCTGTGACCGATGCTATTCAAGGGGAAAGTCATCAAAATAGGACCCTCACCATGAGCAAGACTTTTAAATAAAATATGGACTTTTTGTTAAGGAAGTCGTCTAGTCAGCCCACCTCTGGAGTCTTGGCTTCTCTTTTCTGCAATCTTCCTTTTTCAGTCATTCTCATTTCTCTCCAATTATGAGAATGATTAGCTCAGAGTAGAGTTTTTATCTATTGGAAGCAGTTCTAAATAGACTTTGGTCCGTATATTCTTTCATCTGCCGCTGATGAAGTCTTCTATTCAGATGTAGATGGCTTTTGATGTAGGTTTTACAATTTCATATTTATTTCTTTGAAGGAGATGCTAATTGTTCTGGTTGTTGTCGTTAGGTGCCGTTGAGTCGGTTCCGACTCATAGCGACCCTATGTACAACAGAATGAAACACTGCCCAGTCCTGTGCCATTCTCAAAATCATTGCTATGTTTGAACCCATTGTTACAGCCACTATGTCAATCCACCTCATAGAGGGTCTTCCTCTTTTTCCGATGACTGTCTACTTTACCAAGCATAATGTCCTTCTCCAGGGTTTGGTCCCTCCTGACAGCATGTCCAAAGTACGTGAAATGAAGTCTTACCATCCGCTCTTCTAAGGAGCATTCTGGCTGTACTTCTTCCAAGACAGATTAATTTGTTCTTCTGGCAGTCCATGGTATATTCAATATTCTTTGCAGCATCATAATTCAAAAGCATCAGTTCTTGAGTCTTCCTTGTCAGTGGATTCATTTTAGAAGAGCAAATAATTACTTCACTTATTTCTCACCTTTTTGGCTTTCCCAAGGCTTTCAGACCAATTTCTTAATCTCATTACTTGTCCTTTAAGTCACAAAACAGTATTCAGTATTTGGAAGCTCTTAAAAAAAGAAAGAGAGAGATAGGGTAGGGAAGTTGGAGGGCTTGATCTTAGATATTATAGCTGAAGAAATAGGTAAGAAAACCTAGATGATGCTATTCTACAATTCTCTCCTAATTAGTGTCCACATCTGACTTATTGATGCTTTTATTTTAAGAGAGAAGTATCCTACCACTCTGACATTATGTTGACTTGGCAGAAGCCACAACATTTCCGGCTTATCTGAATTAGCTCTGAGCCCAAACAACATTGTGCATTATTCTTCCCATACTATAACTGATAAATTAGGAGGTGTTTAGATGATATCTTTTATCATTATTCTGACTCTCTGCCTAGATCCCTACAATGAGCACTTAGATCTTACCTACATAAATTTTGGAGGTTAAAAACAAAAACTTCATATTTAAGATAAATGATTGATTCCTTTGTCTTAAAAAAGAAGTAAATTGTTTTGAAGTGCTCTTATTCTTTTATAAGAGAAAGAATACTAAAGGTAATATAAAATTATAGTTGATGAACTTTAAGGACTTAATATGTATCTTTATACCAGAAATAAATGTGTGGACATCTCAAGTGGAGATCAACAGGACTTCAATTTCATAAGGACCACTGTTGTTCTATGTGCCCTTTGGGCAATGGACCATGCCCATTTTGTCCCTTATGTACTTACATTGCTGATCACTTCATCAAAGTGGTGTTTATCATTGGGATTATTGCTTATTTCACATTTAGAACATGAACAGGAACTGCAAAGTGACACAACCCCCTTGGCATTATTTATCATTATGACAGTTTAAT